GGTATATACTATATAGCTAGTGTTCAAACTGCAAGGCTGGTTCTGCTTTGCTTCGTGGTGCTAGCAAACTCCGGAGTCTTCGTCATCGAAAACCCCTCTGACACCTTGATCTGGAATCATCGTAGACTCCAGCTTCTGGCAAACCATGTAGCCTGGGTCACTTGGAGTTTGGAAATTGGAAAAAGAACGGTCGAGTTGGTACCAGGAGCCTTGATCATAATTGAATCTCCTTTGATGCAATGCCCAGGTGTGGCGGCAAAGCTTCTGGATGAGCCACTTTGGATCCAGGAGCCCAAAAAGAACAACTGTCCTTGGAAATACTCGGTATATCTTTATGCTTGATATGGGCCGTCTGAGTCGAAAGCGCCACCCAAAGAGCGATACAACACGATCTTTGGCTTTTAATCTAGTGAGATGCCAACTTACTATTTGTTTTCTGTGGACCATGTGCAAATCAAAGGACAGTATATAGATGGATCTGGAGAGAAAAGATTCGTTGGAACAAAGGCACTAAAATTGCACAGATCCTTGGCCTCAAACCTTGCCTTTTCCATGCCTTTGTTTTGGGCCCTATAATCGCCCCCGGATCGGAGCCCCAACATGTACCACACAAACAGTATTGTCTACACGCAGACTTCCCAAACACACCGCCTTACTGGCCCCAGCTCAGGGTATATCCACCCGGATTTGGGAAGCGGCTGGTGGAGATGTACGAGGCAGGAACGAAGATGGAGCCCCGGGCAGACCTTCGCAGAAAGTTTGCCGTGAGTCCAGATCTAACTGATCGGGAGGCCTTTGACCAATACCCTACAGGTGATTTGTGGCCCGATGCGAAGCTAACTGAGGCTTTGCTCTACCTAGCCCGGTACAAAGGTTTGAAGATACCAGATTCATGGAACCACTCTATCCAATCCTTTATTGGTCAGCTCTCTACATGAGTGACTTGCCTCAAGGGTCACTAGTGAGTCTAGTGAGCAAATCCGTCGATTTGGAACAATTTGGAACAAAATCATGCCAAACCATTATATTTAACTCATGGGTGGACCTAAGGTTGACCAGGATGCTGAGATGCTGGGCTCCTATGGCATGCGCCTGATCGTCTGGATCCAATTCGATATAATTCGATCTTATAATCAGCAGCTGCCGTTTTTTCGAACAAAACGGTCGTGCAAATTCGAGCGCAAAAAAACGCAAAACGAGCGCAAAAAGCGCAAAACGAGCGCAAATCAAAAATCCGTCCAGGGCATGTAGTTTTTTGCAGTTCGGACGTTCGATCAATGGACGCTCATTCGGAGTCGCGAGTGACCAGTTCATGGTATGGCTACTCAAAAAGCGTCCCCTGCTATATGTCGATCTATCTTTTTCTTTTTCAAGGTTGGTTCCTGCTAGACGAACTTTGGGCTCGAAGTGTTAGGTGATTTCCAACTGTCAGGTGATTTTCCACTATGCTGGACTCTCAGGGAAGTTGCGCCAGCTTAATGGAAGGTACCAAGTTCCTCGACATCAACTCCCGCAGTCCAATGGAGCCCAAGAACTCTCTTGATGATGCCATCAAGGTTTCCCCCCTTAGTGATGTGAGAGGGGAAGGAAAATTGTATAAGGGATCACCTACTCTTGAATCCACTATATCCAATTCACCCACTCGTGTAAATCGATCATAGCTCCCAGTTGAGGCGGCTGAAGAGCGGATTCAACGCCTGCAGAAGCATCTGCGAGAGGTGCCACCTCAGCCGTTGGAGAAGATCCCGTCAACGCAGGATGAAGGCCCGGTGTTTGGGTGGATGGGGGTTACGATGTAAGATGTAAAAAGTATTCAACTGTTCAACACTGTCGAACAAATTGACGTTTATAATGTTTGCAGTTGCATATATTCAACTATTAGCTTTCTGTCTAAGGCCCATTTCTATTTGCAGAAGCTGATGGACACCTTGCAGCCGGAAATACTATATCTGATACTCTACCTGATCAACCTGAAACAGTTGCCTTGTTGAAGAGCCAATCCATGATTCCTCGCCAGGGTTCCACTTTGAACGTGAAGGATGGTTCCAAGGAAAGCCCTGGTGGATCCTCTTCAATTCATAGGACGTTCTCATCCTGCCGTTCTTCCCCTCCTTCGCCATCCTCCGCAGCTGGGCAAGCGCACGCCGCACGAGGAAGGTCCAGATCCAGGGGTGGACGTCCTAAGGGAAAGCGAGCATCTTCTGGGAAGGAGTCTGGCACATGCTATGACAAGTATTACTTCAGGCAGGTAGGCCCAAATCTACACTGTCCAAACAGGGGTGTTGAATCTACACCCCTGTTTGGACAAGTTTTGGGGGGATAAGAATATATATGTAAGTGTGGCATCTGGGCCCTGATAGGCTCCGGCGCTACTTCCAACCAAAGGACAGCGGGAAGCTTGTCGCTTCCAAAGAAGCCCTGGAACTATGGAAAAGTAAAGAAGGACGTGACTTGACATGTATGAAGTGCTTCCCAAGATGCCCTCCAACCCTGCTACTTTTTTGGGGATGCACTCCAAATGAGTAAATTACTATAGATCAAGGTTGAAAGCACAAGTATCCACACTTGTCCTTTTAAGCCGCTCCCAGGTGACAAGTTGAGGGCAGCTCTTCAGGAGAAAGGGACTTTCGAACACATGGAGACCATGGTGCAACGCTGGCACCAGAAGGAGAAGCAAAAGCTCGTAACCACCTCTTGGGTGACCAAGAACTGGCTCATGCAGGAGAGGCACTGGACCAAGTCCCTGGACAGCGTTGATTCCCCATCGAATCACTCTATATAATTTTGAAGTTCATGGTATAAAAATATATCGATCAATTTCGATCTATACAACAATCCTAATTAATTGTCTTTGCCTACCCGGAAAATGCCCTATGTTTCGCAATCCCATGCATGAAGCCAAAATCCAAGGTCTATGTGTGATCACGCTTTTGAGTGGGCGAAGCAGAAGGGCCTATGGCAGATCAATCCTATTCACAAAGAAGAAGAAGCTTCTTTGGTCATTGAGCGGTTGTTTCAATCAAAGGAGGTCGAAGGGGAGGTCATGCGTCAAGAAGGCTCCTTTGCAACGCAGGACCCCTTTGCCAAAAGCCGTTGAAAGTTCAAGTGGGGAGAAGGGTGTACCTGAGTGTACAGTACTGAGGTTCCTGGTTATAGCTTTGATTCCTTTCCCTCCTCCCTCCTTCAAATAAACCCTTGCCAGGACCCCAACGGAGACTTCATCTCAGCGGAGTTGGCCTGTGACGGGGCAGCCGGGGAGGGTTCGGCAAATCCTGGTGCTCAAGAAGCTACACATGAGGGTTCTGGTTCATCGTTCAGGAGGGCAGGTTTGATCAAAATCATGCAACCATGACCATGCATTTTATGAAAAGTTCTTCTGATGCGATATACTTCAACCAGCCGGAACCTCGAGCCCTGTCAGGCTTGTCTTCCCGACCCTCCAGCAGAATCAGTCGCCCTTGAGCGTGGTCCCAGGTTTTCTTGACTGCATGGCCAGAAAGCTTGATGCTGGGGAGCGGGAGGAGGCCAGGGTAGCTACTAACATGTCAAACACCATCCCAAGATATTCCAAGAATTCTTTGAGCACATGCGTGTATATAGGTACATGTGTAACGTGGCGAACAGGAGAAGCTGAAACGCAAAAAGTTTCAGAAAGCCACAGAGAATCTAGGATGCAAAAACACCAACCATGATGCATGAACAATTGCTGCGCCAACCTCGGTTCAATGAGTGCGTGGTTGGAGCCAAGGATGGCCACTACGCTGAGATCGCATTTGGATAAGCTCCTTGAGAAGTACAACACCTTGTCGGATCTTCAAGGCACTTCTTTGTCAAACTCCCTCGACGAAAAGAATGAGGAGATGAAGAAGGAAATGGCTGAGATCACCAAGATCGATGTGGCCATGAACAATCTGATGGTGCGGGCCAGGTCACTTTGGAACAGACTGGATAGTTTCTAAGAGCCAGTGCCCGCCCTCAAAAGGTGTCAAACCTAACTGCTCACTGTTCACGTAAAAGGGTTTTGCAGGCTAGCCGAGTTGATGTATATAGAGGTCAGTCTCAATCCTACTGTATAACTCAGATTCGGTTCGGATCCATATCGCCTTCTGACCTTCCAGGAACGTCAGGGCACCAATGTCTGCTGGCCGGGACCTGGATGCAGATAAGAAGGAGAAGACAAAGGCGAAGGAGAATAAAAAAGACAAGAAACCCAAGAAAGACCATGAGAAAGAGCCCAAGGGTGCAGAGACGTCTAAGTCTAAGTCAAAGAAAGACAAGACATCTAAGTCTAAATCGTCCAAAAAGTGAGTTTGGGGAAGGTTCACATAAAGTGAATCGTTGCATCTCAACTTTTGAAGTTGATCGCGTTTCAATCTGGCCTGTTGGCGAGGGGAATCGCTATGGCACCGCTAGAGCGTGCTTGGGAAAACAAAATGCTAATACTGCATGCCAGCGCTAAGGTAGATCTCTTTGTGTCTCTCTTTGTCTCTCGCCCTCTCTTTGTCACATATACACCTTGTCGAAATCCATTTGGTTCATTTATCATCCCACGCAGGTGCTCTACCCCCAAGCCTGAGCGAAGAGAACCTCGAACAGAATGTCCAGCATAGTCCCTGCCTCAAGTCAACTCAGTCAATCTGCTTGCCCACTAGTTTGCCAAAGCTTCATCAAGGTGAAAGTGATGGCACTGGGTCTGATTTTGCCGATGAACTACTGGTTGGATTTGAAGAGGGGGCGCCTTATTTGCAACAGGCATCACTGCATCACCACCCACTGGGCCAAACTTGTGTTCACCGGAATGCATGCATATAGTTCTTTTCCCCACGATTAAGGCTGAATCCGCTCGGCGGGTGGTGCGGCTTGCTCGCGTTGCAAGCCGCAATATGAAAAGCAAAGGTTTCTTGTCCAAGGTACAGCACAAGTGCTGACATATATATGATATATTGTATATTTCTGAACCTAGATCCAAACAAGGTTCCCGAGACTTGGAGCTTGAAGCTATGGCGCGCTGTGGACGAACCTCTAAACCTGGCAACGTATGTCGCAATCTTCGTGGCCTTTTGACCAGACAGAACAAAGGGGTACCGATAACCCCTGCCAGACCGCTGATCACTTTGCGGGCAAAATGGCCCAAGCGCAAACCTGAAATGGCTGAGTACCCGATCATTACCTTCTCATCGTGGGCGACCTATCTTTTGCAGAACGCTCCAAGGTATTTGCTTGGAGGTTGTGACACGCTGAACCCCGAGATTTTTTCCAAGACGTTGAAGACTTTCTGGTGTAAGTACCAAGAAGGAGATCCTCAACACCCATGCTTCCAGGACTTTGATTTGGATCAGCTTGGTTTCACCATACCCTATGCAATCCACGGTGACGAGGGTAGAGGCAAGAACAACACACCGGTGTTGGTTATAGCGTTTCAAGGTATCATCCCAGGCCGTGGCATGGACGTAACAACCACAAAAGGGTTCCTCGAATGCACACAGAAAAAGCTTCATGAATATGGTGTGAATGGTGTGACACATCATTTGATTTTGAAATTATACGGTGTTGCCCCCAGACTCCATACGACTGTTGGCTTCTCAGGCACAGCTACAGCACCCGCTGGCTTTCGACTTGCATCTCGTCGAAGGTGATGGTGGATCAAACATGGGAGGACATCAACAAGGTTCTTGCGGATGACCTCTACGAACTTTACTTTGACGGAGTCAACATTGGTAAGCATTGCTTCAGGTTTGCCTACGTTGGCCTGAAGGGTGATTGGCCTTTCTTGAGGAAGGCCATGAAACTAGCAACAGGTTTCCGGAGCAAACATATATGTCACTTCTGCCGAGTAACCGCTGCTCAGCTTGTTTAGTAATCTTTGGTATGTTGTTCGCTGTGTGACTTAAGCTTTACTTTGCCTATTATGCATGTCGGGGTACCTTTTATGTATTCTGTGGCGTCGCTTGCAGTGGAGGCGTGGTGGAAATTTGGTCGTCACAGTGAACTGCATCGTTGGACTGGCCAACCTCATGACCCATGGAAGCAGGGTTTCCCAGCGGCGCTTCGGACGGTTCCTGGCGCAAACTGTCCTCTGCGGATCCGGACAGACCTGGCTCATTGCTGGCCTATTGGCACTGGAAAAGACTTTGCGGCATCTAGCATTTTGCTTTTGACGCACTTGGGCGCATTCGAGGGCCGGTCAACGAACGCAAGGCTTGAGCATGCGTGGTACTGTTTTCAAGGGTGGCGCCGGGTTCAGAAGAAGCGCTGCAAGCTGGAGGAGTTCAGCTTGAGGGCTTTCAAGGTTCAATCGCTGCTTGATTTCAATCGCAACGCTTTTTTTTGTTAGGGTCCTCTTGGTTCCAATCATGGCGCTTTGCTTTACGACGCTACCAAATCAACGTGGCTAGGCTTCAGCAGTATCCTGTCCTTGGCGCCTCTGGGAGCGATTGTATATTGGTCTGCGAGTGGGTGAGTGCCTTTGTTCAGGATCCTTCAAACAAGCCAGCTCTTAACGCGCCGAGGCTGCAAATCTTCTCGCCGCCTTTGCCATGCATTACTCACGAAACATGTTCAGCCAGGAATTATATATATATCATAGGCTCTTTTGTTCAGGCCGCAGACAGCAACCTGTGGGATCTTTTGGTCTTCGCAACTCAAACTCAAGATGCTTGGTTCCGTGGACTCTACAAGGAAGGTCTCTTCTTGGATGCAAACACAGCTAGGTGGCTGCTACCATATGGATGGGCTGTTGCCGCCACTTGATTATGTGTGTGTGATATACCTATTGAGTATCTATTGGCTATATATCTAGTACGTGACATGTATATAGATCTATTGACTATATATATATATATATCGGTCTGTTTGATTTGCTAATGAGGTGAACCCATATACCAATCAAATGTATGCATCAACACACTTCAGGAATCCTACAGTGCTTTGGCCTTTGAGTGCTCTGGGCGCGCGTGGTGTTTGTATCGAGTGAAGCCGAAGCTTCACCTTTTTGAGCACTTTGCGAGTCTCGCCTTTGGAATATATGTTGATATCTTTTTGTCCCACGCTCTTGAAGCCCTATGGGGTAGTCCCTTGCCTTATTGTTCGTGGGCCTTTGTTCAAGACATTGTAGGAAGGATTGGCAGCTTCAACTTGATGCTGGAGCTCGATATGTTCTGAACTATGTCGCGACCAGCTGTTGGTCCGATGAAGATTTTGTGGGAAGGGTGAGCCGCACATCACGGCGAACCCACTTGTTCACTCTTGGACAAGAGACCATTTTCCGCTGTCTACTCAAGTACAGACGTCAGCTGGAAAAGGAAATCCCTAGGACCAGGTCATGAAAGTTTGGAAACATATATGATGATAAGTGATTAATGCATATATATGTTGCTTCTGTGAGAGGATATGTGTCTGACCGAAGGGATGGCTGTCGATGTTCTGGAATCTGGGCCACCCGGCTATCTTCAAAAGATGGCCGCCAGGATGTCCAGTGGAGTGTGATGTGATGTGTGTAGGCAAAATGCATTGTGCACGGATGTGCGCAGCCTACTCGGCTACTCGAGCGTTTTTTGAGATTTCGAGCGTTTTTCTTGAAACGTACGTGTTTTTCCACGTAGCTTAAATTTAGGTAGCGTATGTCACTGTAGGGAATATTCGGATACTCGGGGTCTAACGGTGGTGGATTAGGGGGAGTTGCGGCTGCAAGTGCACGACCTAGTCGACCGGACCTTACGGCTCGGGTTATCGTGTTAGCGGCACGGGTGCGAACTGCCTCTAGATCTTCACCTTCGACTTCGACCACGGGATCTGGCTCGAAAGCTTCCTCTTCCTCCCGCGCAAGCGCGGTTCCGCCTCGTCCGCCCTGTCGGACTGTGCCCTCCTCCTCCGCTCCTTCTGGGTATCCTGGATCTACTTCAGCCTCTGGAGCGGGTGCTCCCTCCTCGGTTCCAACACCATCCATAGGATCATCTGCCTGCTCGGTGTCGTCGGCAAGATGGACCGTGCGGGTCGGCTGCTCCGTGTCCGCGAGAAGCTCAGCGGTTTCACGATTAGGCCTGGGGCACGGCCTGGTTGGTCGAGGAGGTCGAACTGGCTCTGAGGTCCGGGTCTGAGACCTAGATCTTGGAGTCCCTTGGGGAGTTTGGGATCGGGGTTGCACAGGGTGATCGACAGGTCTCAACTGCGGTCTCCAACCTCCTGACTGACTGGCAGCGCTTGCGCCCACTACGGGCGGAAAAGTGCGCGCCGGGACGGTCACAGGGAAGGTTTGCTGGGCAGCCGGAGCTGCCTGCGATGAGGTCGCCGTCGAGGAGTGGACCTGGCGGAGCGGGATGAATTTGTATGTCTTTTGGTAATACCCAGGCGGAAAACGGTATGTAGGTTGCTTCACACCGTTTGAGATGTCCGGCGTGTGACGTGTGCACCATGACCAGAACTCTGGTATGATGGCCGCCCAGGCTTTGAGTGCCCCGTCGGAAATGTCTCCGTCTTCAGGGGACTCGGCCCATGCATCAGCATGGAACACCACATACTTGTACCATTCGGAGTAATCTCTCCGCGCAATCAGCGGTTTCACGAATGGTAGGTGGTAGGTTTTACGAACCCGACGGTAAGTATGCGACGCCAGGTGACTTGCGATAAGATCACATGTGAGGGCGTACTTCTTGTCGGACTGTTCGAACTGGTGCTTCTGGCCTCCCCTCGCGCCTCGCGTACGCTTCGGCTGAGGGTCCACGGCTGCGGAAGCTGTTTGTGATGTCTCCGCGCTAGGCGCGGTTTCGTCGTCAGCCTCGTCCCCTTCCTGCTGCTCTTCTTTGGGAGCGGGCTCCGCCTGATCATCAGGATCGTCGCCTGGCTCTTCGTCTCCAAAGTCAACTTCAGCCTCGTCAAAGACCGGATCGGTGGCCAATGATTCGAACTGCGTTGGATGATTATGAGTATGCAGTGGGGGTAGGCCTACAGGGGAGGTTGAGGGATCGGCATAAACTTCTTCCTCTACTTCCTCCTTGGCTGTGGGCTCTATCTTAGGTGGGCCTAACAACGAAAAGACATCGAAGGACGGCTCGTCGGCGTTAGCTGGGCCTAACGTGCCGTCTTGAGCTGGCGAGACCTCTCCGCGCGAAGCAGCGGTTCCGGTCTGGAGCTCTGCTTCGACAAGAGGGGCTTCGTCGTCAAGAGAACCAAGTGTGCTGGTCTCTGGAGGCAACTCGATGGTGGTCGGCTCTGCGACAGGCCCTTCTTGTTGAGGGTTGTCGACCTCCTCCTCCGCCTCGGCGGTTTCTGAACCCTGAGGCGTGAATGTCGGTTGGGAGGACGAAATGCCTGAAGCGACACGGGGAGTAAGGGGTGGTTGCACGGCCTCCCCAAACTCTTGGTCCGTGGTCTCCGCGCTAAGCGCGGTTCCGACCACGCCCTCAGGGGAAGCGGATGCTTCTTGATCCTGAGGGTCCCCAGCAGGCGCCGTGGCTGGTGCTGCAGCCGATGAAGAGGCAGCGGCGCCGGTTGCTTGCGGCTGGGGGTTGACACGACCCATTGGTGTCCTATGCAGGTGCGAAAAGCGTGCTGCAACGGACCACTGGATGGGGTCGAGTGATGATGCCTGTAGCTCACGGCTACGGCTGATAACCAATTGAGTGTACAAACCAGGTGGGGCGTAGGGAAACGCCCAGGCAACCCTCTCAACCGGAAGGTGATAGAAGAAGTATGCCAGATCCCTGGAAGCACGGTCTATATTAATAAGTGTACGAGGAACGTCGGATGGACGGGACCCCGTGGTTGCGTGTGAGCCGAACGAACGAAGGCACGGCGGCGAACGAGCGAACGGAAAGTGGCAAAAGGTGCGGAAGCGAAATGCAACGAAAGCAGTGACGCACACGGCACGTCAAAGCGGCACCCTGAAGAAAATCGAGCGGACGCCCAATTTTCTTGAGCCATGAGCCACGGTCGGCACATGTATTGTACATGTGGTGTGTGAACCGTAGCTACTAGTAGACATGTAGTGAATGCTGTTACATACTAGGGGTTCACAGAAAATGACTATTATGCTTCAAACTGTCGCTCCTTGATCCTGGAATTGAGATAATGCTTTAGCTGGTTGTTTCCTGTTGTCGCCTTGTTTGAGAGTAGTGTTCCAAATAGTTTTGATGAGAAACAGCCCTGTGGAGGTTGACATTGTCTAGAGACGGGCTGTCTGGAATATCCACAGCTTGGCTTTGGACTCTCCTTTTGATGGTGTCTGAACAAGGAGTTCAGGCTAGGTGGGCGAATACAGTGATTTGGAAAAAATCAAACACCGTGAACTAGCGTGAATTGTGCGTGAATTTTGGCCATTTGTGCGAGAATTTGCCGTGGACTTCGTGAACTTCAAACATTGTATTTTTTAACTCTAAAAGTTCACGACATATTCTCCCACAACAAAACTAAGCGGTTCTGATTGTTAGGTGTCGCCTTTTTTTGTCCTTTGCCACTTTCCTTGCCGTTTTGGATCATCAGGCAACTGTTTCTTCTTGCCCTTTAACATACCTCTGTTTCTAGTGTTTGTGTTTGTTCCCAATGGATGTCAACGAGCTCATGTCAAAGCATGGTCTCAGCCGTGAAGAAGCCAGCGAAGTTATTAGGGCTATGAAAGCTACTGATTTGGCACCTAGACATTTTTCAGAAACTAATGCACAAACATGCTGATACGCCAACACACTAGGTTGCATATGTCCGCAAGATGTGAAATCATATTTTTGCGCTTTTGTCTTGAGGAAACTCCTGGGAGAAATTCTCCGTCACACTCACCTTCTTCGACTGTGAAGCACCCCAAACCCAAAGGGAAACCTGCCAAGGACACGCCTCCTGTTGTTCTTTTATGTTCCCTTCTATTGACCTCGCAGGACCCCGAGGAGGAGAAAAGGAAGAAAGCTGAAGCAAAGGCAAGGAGCAAGGCAGCAAAACAAAAATGGGAGGAGGACATGTTGGAGGCAGAGGGTGGGGAAGCTGCGGATGGGACAGATCAAAAGAAGGGAGAAGAGCCAGACTCAAAGAAGAAGAAGAAGAAGAACAAGAATAAGACGGCACCTGCAGCAGAAGAAAAACCCGAGCCAGCCCCTTAAGAAGAAGAGCAAGAAGGCAGCTGCAGCAGAAGAAGAGCTCGAACCAGCCCCAAAGAAGAAGAGCAAGAAGGCAGCTGCAGCAGAAG